ACTTCGAGATCCGAAGCAAACGTGGACACTACGGATACACTGAGCTACCTCGCTTCCATAAATAATAAAGAAATGAAAATTATAAAATATGTATGTAATGTTTATGTACACAAAATATTTTATCAGTTTAAGTACATTAAATCATTTTGTTACTTTTGTCTGGTAGTTCGCGCTAACTCTTAAAAATCTGGTGCGTTGCGCACATCATACAACTTTCACACATCAACCTTCATTTTGGAGAAATAGGTATTTTTGAAACAGTCAATGACCAAATGTAATACCATTTGTTGTATTATACTTATATTGCTTTTTTCACTAATCATTGCTTTTAAAGATTGTATATTTTAATTATTTATTTGATTATAATTAATGATTAAGTGCCACGAAGCACTTAATTATACGAGGAATAAAATTAAAGGAACTGTTACTCCTGGTTATTCCTTATTTTAGAACACTTGTTACCTTGCGCGCTTTGAAACGAGTTTTCAGTTCTTTTTCTATTGCTTTAGTCGGTGTTAAGGGGGTGTAGATTTCTTGTAACTACTCTTAAAGCCCACTGTTGCCGTACTATGTACCTATTTATAATCCTCTAGGGTTTCTGTCTGATATTTCACAATTTTTCTGTAGGTTTCAGCTGTATCTGGTGATATTAGTGTCATTTGTTCTGCATAAACATGAGTAGCTTCCTGTGTCTGTTATTTTGTTTAATATGTGTTACATTTTTCAAATTAAAGAAAGAGAACTTTTTAATTACAAATTGAGAACTTTTTAGATTGATAAATTATTACTCATCGGATCACTCATTGGAATATGGATCAATAAAAAAAATTTAAAAAAATCCTTTTTTTTTTTTTTGTGGACGGGTTTTAAAATGGAATTCACCACCCCGCCAGGGCACTGTACCAACTGTTTTGAAAGTGAAGTAAATGGAATTACAGGGTAACAATATAGGTAATTTTTACTTCCATCTGATCTTTTCACCGCTCTACAAACTTTCCTTTTGAACCTTTTGTAGTAGATAGCCCCCAGAATTTACTCTTTTATGTGACATTGTGTGAGGGAATGAAAAAGAAAATATAATATATAGGAATGTGAGGTTGCACTATGAATTTTACTCAATTGTGCAGTGGACTAATTGTTCATTGAAAAGTCTCATATCGATAAACAATCGATGAAACAGAGAGAAGGTTGGAATAGGACAGAGCAGGTAGCAACAGCTTGAGAAGGACGCTGGAGAGAAGAGAAGGCACTCTAGGCATGGACAGGAAGAAAGGAGGTTGTCAGAAGAGAGAGGCACTACACTGAAGACTAAGAACATTAAGCCTACAGTTGTAAGACTTCAGTAGATTCACTTATTACAGTTGTAAAAATAAATAGTTTTGTTAGACAGGAGTGAAAAATCATTTATTTATTTAGTTGTCCTATAGGCCTCACAATTGAATAATAACAAACCAGGTGAGTCAATTCATTCGACAAGTTATGTACACTTTGAACTCCACACTTCAGTGTCGTGTAAAATTCCTGAAAATATTTATTAATTTCTTGTATTTTTAAATTTAAAACTATAAAGATAAAAGCAAGATAAAACTGCTGAAGAATCTTTTCAGCTCATTAAATTCGTTAAAAGCGGAGCGGGTTAATTCCAATCAACGTAGTCTTACCCTCTAATCCGGCTGCGACAGTCTCTTCTTTATTCTATTATATAGGTCATGGATCGAATCTTAAGGCACACCCAGCATCTATAAAGTGGGAATTCTTAATTAATTATTGGGAACACCTATCTGTATATATATATATATATATATCCCAAACTTTGCATAAAATATTGACAATGTAAATGTTAATAATGTCTGGAATTAGCATTGGGAACTCTCAATAACATTTATCAGTTTGTAAGTGTCTTTCGCAGAGTACTTATCATTATGCCTTCCATTTATACTAATGATAAATACGCCAATATGGTGTTTGCATACGGTTTTTGTAATGGTAATGCTAATGCTTCCCGTTGTGAATATGCCCAGAGATTTCCGAATAGAAGATTACCAAACAAGTCTATATTTAGCTCCACGTTTCAACGTCTTAGAGAAACTGGTATATTTGCTATAATACCACATGCTGATGGTATTTTTGTCCCTTTATGAAATGAAGAAAGGACTACACCCATATTACAAATTGTTGATGATAATCCATCTGCATAATCCATCTGCATCAGAGTGCAAAGGGCTGGAGCAGAATTAAATATTACGCCGACTACAGTATGGAGAACACTCATTGCAGATGGACTTCATTCATATCATTATCAGCGGGTAAAAAATGTACTATCGCAAGATTTTTGGCAAAGAAGAAATTTTTCAGATTGGTAATATAAATCAAGTTGACCATATTCCACAATTTTACGAAGTAGGATAATTGAATCTTGTGAAAAAAAAACACATATCCATTGCCGTTCTGCCATTGCTGATGTTGAAGAAAGATGCCGAGCCTTTCTTATTGCTCAAGGAAATCACTTTGAACAACATTTAATATGAATTTAATGTTTACGTTTAATATTTTTTTTTTTTTGTATATCTTTTTATTGAGAAATAATACATTTTGCCACACTTAAGGGCACTGAGTACTAAGGCTGAGTGAGGCACATTCATACTGTATATACAATACAATAACAAAAATTAATAAATAAAAAAAATAATAATAAAAAAATATATACATCTATATAACAAAGGCAAAAACTATAATAAACCAAGGAAATGTAACTTAGAATTAAAATTAAATAAAATACAGAAATTCGTAGCAAAATTAAATAATTATAAGTAAAAGAAATAAATAGAAAAACATTCATACTTAAATACAATATTTACAATCAGGCAAGAGATCTCCGAGTCCAGCGCTTTCCCCCACGTGTGAAGGACAAAGCGAGACTCTAAGAGATCCCAGGGCTTCTCTCTCAGCCGTGTCGCCGGTATTATCATGACTTGAGTGGAGAAGCTGGCTATTGTCAGAACTACAATGACGTCTTTACAAAATATCTCGAGACCACTGCCGTTTCAACCTCGAAGGAGGATTGTAGGGATGACTAGAGCTAGATAAGGATTATGCTAAAGGGTTAGGATGGTGGATTAGGTTCATGTGAAAATTTGAGAATCGGGATGGAATAACGTCAAGGACATAAGGGATCCAAAGGTCATGATGTAGGGTTTTGTTTGTAACATAATAAGGAGCATTCACTATTATACGAAGGACTTTACGTTTAATTAATAAAGTAGTTGGAACAAATAAATGAGTTTTGTTTACGTAATATAACGTAAATAATTCTAAACAATGAAAATCTTTATGTGTGGACATCTCCTAAACAAAACGTTTGCGTCATAGAATTTTTTTTTTGTTTTGAGGTCTTTAATTGATATTTTCAGTTTGGCCACTTAACACTGAAACACATTGTATATACATATTTGTATAATTATATATTAATAAACGATACATTAAATGTTAAATAATTAAAAACTATGGAATAATGAGGCCCAATTATATGGAAGTTATATTTATAGATTTATTTCATAACAGACTATAGCGGATTCTAAAATTTAAACTATTTATTTTTAAATAGCAGTTTGGTGACAAATCAGATCAATGGGGTGAGTTGGAGGTGATAAAATGTTTCCTATTCGCTTATTAAAGAGGTATAAATATTTACTGCCATAGTGGGCACGCCACATAATCGATAGTAAATTAACAATTTGCTCCAATCTGGTTTGTTATGTTTGCAATGGGCCAATAGCGTGCAAGCCCAAGGTATGTTAATTACTTAATTTAATTAGCTTTTAAGTAATTACCTCAATAAGTGAAAAAATAGCGAAAATAAATTTTATTAACTTTATTTATTAATTCTCACTAATTAAATATACATACATATAATATTACTGGGAACGATAACACCTTAATTTAACATGCAATTGTATAGTATATATAAATATTCCTGAATCATTTTACGAAAAAATCAAATTTAAATTTTCTTTATAGGAAATAACCATGATGATATTTATTTCATATAGACATATTAAATACTCATTCAAAACATTTATAATAATTTATTTTTTTAATAAAAAGAGATAAACCGTTTTTTATTGTAACATACAAATCAGCTATCAACCTACATCGAAAAATTAGTTTGAGAATTAAAGATATTAAATTGATTTTTAATGTCCAGCATCAAAGCTAAATTTATCGCTTTGAGCTGAATATACCTAGCTCTGCCATAAATACTGTTACAAAAGTTGAACATTGAATACATCCTTGTGTATTATTTAGATAGTTCTTACCTCTATCGGGTTATTTTCTTTACATATCAGGATAATAATCCCAATTAGTTTGTATTTTTCTTTCGCTCAGTTAAAATGGAGTGGGGTGAACAAGCAAACCGAATAGCTGTGATCACCTTACTACAAAGTTGGAAAATTCATTATTATTATTACACTTTAAAAAAGAATTTGATTTGATCTCCTAATAAATTTCGGTTTTTAATTTGAAAAAGGAACGGAGAAGGTTCTAGAAAATGTATAATAAGCTACTGATGATTTTAAAATAAATAATACCTAATATAAATAATAATATAAAGTAAATAATATGTATATCACATGTATGTAGATAAATGTTTAACGTTTTTACTATGGCGTATTGGAGTATAAACAAAATTCATTATACCTTTGAACTGAGACTAAGCTTTTGATTTTTCGACAATAAAATTGCTGTGTGCCTAGTCCTGTCATAAACATTGTTACAAGGAAATATATACAGATTTCAAAAGAAAAATTATTTTTTTCAAAACTTTATTAGAAAATAAAATGTATATCTACAGAGAGTAAAACAAAAAAGAAATAACTCAAAATGTCTCCCTCTTACCTTGACACAGACATTTAATCTCGCTGGCCAGTCATCAGTAGCAGCATGCAGCACTTCTTGTGTAAAGCGCTAAACTGCCCGGACCAGAGACTGTTTGAGGCTTTTCAAGTTAGGGTGTGCTCTGTGGCATGCCATCCTCTCCAGTTCGGGACCAAAGCCGATAATCTAGTTGGTTGAGGGCCAATCCAAGGCAGAGATGAACTCTGGAATGCTCTTCTGCAGCCACTGCTGAGTTGAGCCGGAGCGGAATCCTGCTGGGAAATCCAATGACTTCCAGCAAACAGAGTATCATTGAGAGGCTTGACAACAGGCTCCAAAATATCGTCCTAATAATTTTTAACGGCTGTTTTAACTCCATTCTCACAAAACTGGAGCTTGGTGGTGCCATGAAAGCAAACCATCACCGAGGAAGGGTGGTGACCTCTTTCCACTCTTCCAATAACTTCCTGGGCTTCTTTAGAGATGTATGCCAACACACGATCATTTCGGCGATTAAGCGATTAAATGTTTCAACAATTGTGCCATCAAATGATAACCTTCACAAGGTGGATGCAGAAAAAATTCGCAAATATCAAGACCTTGGTGAGGAGCTCAATCAATTATATAAACTAGATGAAGGTTTTGCCGCTGGTTATCTCTGCAAATTGTCTGATTCCGGTCTGCTGGGATGCATTTCTTGTCCCATATATATATATATATATATATATATATATATATATATATATATATATATATATATATATATATATATACTCAATTGGAAAGTATAATTGATTATTTACCTCCTCTCCACCCTTTTTATAGAAGTCCGCAATCAAAAGGTCTTCTCCAGGAGATTTGCTATTTTTTAATTTGTTAATTAATTCTACCACTTCCTCGATTGAGAGTGGTCTAAATCAGACTTATTTTCTAGCTCCGGTGTCTCGTCAGGGTCTGTTCTTCATACATTCAGCAAATCATTGAAACGTTCCTCCCATCTGTCAATTACCATTTTTTTTTCTAATATTTTTCCGTTTCTATCTGTACATGCATCGACCTTAGGTTGGAATACACGATGCATATATCTGACGGCCCCATAGAATTTTCTCGTTTCGTTATTCACCCTCAGTTCTTCTATTTGTTCAATCTTCATTGCTAAGAATTCCCTTTCTTTCGTTCTTATAGTCTACCTTACATATATATATATGTGTGGGCTATATGGATATATGTGGGCTAACGTGAATGTTTAAATATCAAAAATCTTCTATATATCTTTGACCTTTCTTCTGCTTTCATTATATTCAGTATAGCTTTGTCTGGTGGAACGTTGGAGTACAGCTAATCTATGTTCATTTCTAACATTTAGGGCTGCTGCACACTCCTCATCGAACCATTCCTCACTTCTCCGCTCTCCAATCACTTTATCATCAGATTCCTCTATAGCTTTTCTAATTGTACGCCATCTCTCTTTAATTTCCCCAATTTCTAATCTTTTCAAATTCTTTGTTAGCTAATCACTTACATACTCTTTAAATTGCTCAGTGATATCTTCAAGTTTAAATTTTTCCAAATACCATTTCTTCCTATAATGCCGATTTCCAGATTTTACGTTTGTTAATCGCTCTCTAAACTTTACTTTACTTACCACGATCAGTCCTTATATCAATAATTGATTATGAATGCCTTCTATATATCAATAAGTGATCTATCTGGGCTACTGCACTTTTGGGGGCTTTCAATGTTCTCTTGTGTATATTTTTCCGTTGGAAAAATGTACTTTTAATTAACATATCACTCGCTTCAGCGAATTGGCAGAGATGGTTTCCGTTCTCATTAGTCTCACTATGAATTGTGAATTTTTCTGAAACGGTCTGCGTAAAGTTCTCGGTTCCTATTTGAGCATTTGGATCTCTTAAAATAATTGTAACATCATATTTTGGGAATGCATGATATATTCTTTCCAATTTTCGATAAAATCCCAATTTTACATATTCATCTGCTTCCGCGGTTGGTGCATGCGCGGAAATCAATGTCACGTTCCTAAATCTACCTTTCATTCTAATTTTAAAAATTCTCTCACTGATCGGTTCAAATTGTAGTAAATTCTTCCTTATTTTTTTTTGTGATCATATACAATGCCATTTTCAGTATTCTTTTATTTGCTTTCCTCTTGTTTCCTTGTTTGAAACTTTCCTTTTTTGAAACATAATAATCCCGTCGAAATGTGTCCCCTTTAAAAATTTTTTTGGCACAACTTACCCCATGCACCATCTTACCTTACCGCCATTTTGACGTGGTTTTGAATTTTTGAAGGAGGCACATTTCGACGAGGCTATTATGTTTCGAAATGAAAATTTCCAAACCAGGAAACAAGAGGAAAGAAAAGAACAGACCACTGAAAATGCCATTGTATATGACCTATTATTTTTAAAATTCTTCTTTAGCTTGCACAGTTTTTAACAAGATGAGTGTAGAAATTAGAAAACCCGAAAAAAGAAGACTTGAAAAAATGTCTCTTCGAAGAATGGAACAGGCAAAGCACAGAATCACTAAAAAATACGTCGACTCCGTTGCAAACAGACTGAAAGGAGTGGTAGAAAATAATGACTTGCCTACAAGGTATTGAACTAAATTAATTAATTTAAAAGTTAATAACAAGTGAGGCGTATCATTTTGACTGTGAGGTAAAATTAACCATTTTTTTTTAAAATAATCGCAGTTAAATATTTTAATTTTATTGAATATGTACCTATTTAAAATGAGATTATAAATAGATCAGTTGAGGAGTTTCTGGTTTTATTTTTTTACTATAACTATTTAAGTATTTTTTCTACGAGATATATCCATTTCACTGCGAGCCACTGTATTTGTAGATATCTATTGGTAGAGTTCACGTACAGTTCCAATTAACTTTAATATGATTTTTCAAATATCATAGGTAGATATAAATTAAAATACTTAAAATTATTTTTAGGTTATTTTATTCTTATTTATTGTATATATATTATTTTTCTGTATAATTTATTTTATTTACTGTACATAGAGTGTGAATGTGATCTGTGAACACTATTACAAATGTCCTTGAGACAGATTGTAATATTGTTCAATATATAAGCTTAAAAAGAAAAAATAGTATAAATAAGGTATTATGTTGTCTAAGAGGATATACTGAAGTTTTTCCAGAAAAAAAACTCCAGTATATTTCGAATCCGTTCTGGAGACTTATACAGAAAAGTTGCTTATCTATATACACACAGCTTGTTTTCCAAAATGAAGGTTTATCTAATTATTTGATAAATATTATTTTATTTTGATTGAATTCCAATTTTCTTTTTAACTACAGCCCACTTATTTTGCTACTACAATTTATTTATTTATTTAATTTATTGTTATTTATATATATTTTATTAATCTTATTTATAATAATTATTATTTTATTTATTTATTTGTTTGATTGTTGCTGCTTTTTTAAAAATTATTTATTTAGTTTAAGGAGTATTTATTTCTCTTGAGTATGCATATACTCTCAACCAAATTCCATACGCCAATCCTCATCCACAAATTCCTTCAAACATCTCCTGTTCCACCACCTACTCCATATTCAAACTCCTGCAAACATGTATAATTCAATTGCGTCTGTACAAAGTCTAATTCAATCAACTGCACAATTGCAAATACGATCAACAGTTAATTAGTCATCATTTTGTGTCCATCTAAGCCAGACTAATGTTATTAATTATATAACTCTTATTAAATGAGAATGATGATTACTCTTAGGGGACTGTAATCCCAGAATAAAATTATTCATTTCATGTATTGGATGAATGAACACCTGTATCTCTAATGCATGTTGCCCTTTAATGAGGCGGATAAACTAATTTTTCAATAAACTAATTTTTATAAAAAATATTACTATTACGTTGTTATAACAGAATATTCGACAATAATCATTCAGTTTATATTTTTCAAATCGCATTTAAAAAAAATAAAAATAAAAATGATAAATGAAAATAAAATTTAATAAAACCCCGAAATAACACATATATGTTTTACGTTCAATTTATTATTAATAATAAGTTATTACCAAGTATAATGTAAAAAATATAAAATTATTATCTTGAAATATTGTAATCCTAAAACTACGTCGTTTCCTTAAGAATATTGATCACAGTTAAAATCCGACTGAGTTCATTTAATTTTCATAAGATTGCGTCAAGCTGAAAATTAACATCCATCCAAGGATAAAAAGTTCTCTAGAAAATAAAATAAACAAAATCATATCTTCTTTATTCAAACATATAATTTATTTTGTTTTCTTTTTTACAATAATACATTTTTTGCACATAACTAAAAAATGATTCACACATATACAAACAAATCATAGTGATAGAAAGCTGGTGTACTAAACTATTAAATCTACAATATTTTAATAAATTTAAAAAAATAAAGAATCTATATCTTAAGTATAAATATAGAACTGAAATAAACTTTTCGTTATATAATAGTTTCATTCAATATTTAATTTTTTTATAGGAGTATAACAGCAAAAGAACTCTTCTTCATTGATTAGTGTATATATATATATATATATATATATATATATATATATATATATATATATATATATATATATACATAGGGTAATGCAAATGATATCCGAAACATAAAGCACTGATAATGAAATTCAAATTCATGTTATTATTATTTTTATCATTAAATGTTATTAATTTTTTTTAAAAGAGAGCTTTATTTGTAAATAAACAAGGATGTTTTATATATTAACTAATTAAAATATTCTCCAAGTTATAGATATAAAATAAATGAACATTTTGTTCTGATTGATTGTAATCATTTTTATTGAAAAAAAAAAAAAATAGCAAATATTTTTTTGATGAAAGTCAGAGACGATTCTTTGACAAACCTCAATTATACAGGGTGCCTCAGTTTTTAATTGCCAAACTCTGGGAGTTGATTCTAGACAAAATGTCTACAAAAAAAAAAAAAAACCTATTCTCTTTCATAGGAAGCGCTAACACAAAAATTATATAATTCAGATAGTTGGAAATTGTATCATAGTAAATTAGAAAAAATTTCATTCAAATACAAGTAGATTTTGTCTTTGTCAAAATCATTTAAAGGAGACTTTATAGCGGCCAAACTACACTGAGTTTTGGGTTTCGTTAAATTGTGGATTATTCGAAATGTATTTTTATCATTCTACAGATATCTCACTTTTATAAAAACTTCCTTGTTAAATCAGATTGAGGTTCATATATGTTTTGTTTTCGGAATCTCAAGAAATACGCATATAACCCAGTATTACACCAAGTTGAAGTGGCTCTATCCATCCAACCGCCGTCTGTACTTCCATGCTACCTTTCTATACCAATCCATCAGAACTCAGCGACCTTCCTATATTGTTCACAGCCTACAATTTAAATATTCCATTCGATCCCGTCCCACTAGATCCCGTACTTCTGACCTCTATCCACCTCCTCACCGAACTGCTCCGTTTGACAAATCCTTTATAATTCAAGCCGTCTCCATCTGGAATACCATCCCTCCCGATATCCGACATACACAATCAATTTCCTTCTTTAAATATCTCCTTTTTAAGCACCTACTTCTCTCCAAACCCTATTGATCATGAAAAGTAGATAAGAGAACTTTTTAAGTTCCCTCAGAAATGATTTTGTTTACTTATGTTATTTTATTTTCACATGTTTGTATTTTATATATCTGTATGTATGTAGTGTTTTTGTTTTTGTTTGATTTTTCTGCCAATATTTTAATTTTAACGAGAATTGTAAATATTTAATTTAATTTTATGGCCGCACAGGCATTTCCTCTGTATCTATAATATGTCCTAAAGGGACAACAGTCCTAGGATAGTAAAAATCTATTTTCATTTCATTTCATATAAATTTATTTGTAATTTGTTTCAGAATAGAGTTGAGATTCGTATCTATTTGTGTAAAACATTATTTGATTTGACATTCTGTCACTCAAGAGTATCTGCATTTTCAGTAAGAATAACATTCGATAAGTTATTACAAAGTTTTAATTCGTTCTTTTTATTATGACCTGACAATTATTTTAGTAACTTAATTTTGAAAATGTATTTTTTATACATTAAAAAAATGTGTTATTGTGACAACATTAAAAAAAAATCAAAGTTGGACTTTTCCGTACGATTTCGGCCAATCCATCAAATGAACTTTTTTGTTGGAAATTTTGTCTAGAATATACATCCTTTATATATATATATATATATATATATATATATATATATATATATATATATATATATATATATATATATATATATATATAAAGGAAATGTTTTGAATGATATATATACTAATCAGTGAAGAAGTTCGTTGACTGGTATACTCCTATACAAAAATTAAACAAACAATGTAAATACAACAAATAAATCAATTGCTGTTTAATTGGAAGTTATTATTGCCAAAAACAGAGAAAAAATTAAACCAATTTTCTTATTATATTAATGACCTTTATATCAATCGACTTATATACCAACTAGATTACAAACATTTGAATTCAAAAGTAATTATTTCATACTTTTTAAAATTGTGCAAAATATACATATATACTCTTAAATATATTTATGTAATAAATAGAGACGTGTTACTGCTTATAATTCCAAAAATAGACACGTCCATTTCCCATTTCGTTTCTTCATTTTATTTTCATCATTGAAAAATTCTGTATTATGTACTTTTGTTCTTCCAAAATTATTTAACTTAATTTAAATGTTCTTGGAGAATATATTTTCGTTACATAATAATCTACCATGAAAATAAAATAAAAATTGAAAAATTCAATGTTTCTAATTTGAAATCTTACGTCCTCGTTTAATATTTAATTTATGTCCATTCTTCAATGAAAAAGTACATTTCGCTCCTTTTCCAGAAGAATGACCTAACTGAATTAATTTCAAGGTTAAGGCGTTAAAGTTTTCAATTAAAAAAATTCTATATTTTTCAATAAAACAAATTCTAAATTTTTCAATAAAAAAATGGTCTATAAATATTGGGTACTTTTTTTTGTTTAAACTAATATGCAATTTTATATTTATTTATAAGTGTTAATACCTTTAAGTCAAAATATAGACTAAAATAAGAAAATACCAGAATATAGAATTTTAAGATAGGCCAATATTCTAGTTGAGGTACGATGTATTATATATTTTTTGTTATGATTTCAGTTTTATCAGTAGCAATCAGATTCATAATTTATTCAAGTCATATTATCTCAGCATTCCACTAATGCAAATATTATGTTTATCAGTTAAAAGGTCACATCTCTGCAATTGCGTATTTATAATAAACATTATTACTAACCTAATCCATTAACAAATTAGATGAATGACATAAAATATTTTGATGTTATCATTGCAGTCTTCATACATTCCTATAAGATAGATGAATCCATTTCTAAATTACTTTAGGAATAATTAAACATACTCGTAAACGAAAATTATACATTAGATCCTGTATTAATGAAAAAAATTAATTTTTCTAAGGGTATTTGTATAAGTTTTTTTTTCTCAATTTTTTATTTCTAAGATGTTTTGTTGTTCCTTATTATACTTTTCTTCACTTTTTATCCCCACGTAGGATGCATGTTTAAAAACAGAAATTTACAAATTTAATTCAGAAAAATTGTCGAATAAATAATAATAAATATGGAACATTAAAAAAAAATTGAAAAAGTTCATTAAAATGTATATAAAGTCAGAAATGTCGGTTTAAATGACGAAGAAGTAAAATAAGGGATTTAAAACACCTCGGAAATGTAATAATAAAAAAATATAATAATATAGTTCTATTAAATTAATCCTTTTTGTAATTATTTTGCAATTTAAGATAATTACTATATTTGGTAATGATCAAATATATGTAAATATAAAAATGAATCTTATTATAAAAAGTAAATAAATAAATAATTATATTTAAGATCTCTTTATTGATTTAATCAAAATTACTCAAAAAAAATTAAAATCAATATATATTATAGAAAAAACATAAATTGAATAATTCAAAACTATTGATGTGTTAAACAATATGAAGCGATAGGAGACCATTTTCTTGCTATTTTCATCAATAGAAGTAACAAAAATAATTTTTTTTTTTTATTATAAAATCGTGTATGGGGTGAGCTTTATACTGTACCACACAAAATGGATTTTACAATACTGCTCTCCGATACACAAATTGATGCAAGAAATTATAAAAATCATTGCACAATCGCAAATAAAAAAAAACTGATTTTTAAAAAAATAAAAATTCGAATAAAAAATTTCGAGGATAACTTGAAAAAATTCATTGGAAATTGTCATCTGTTTGTAAAAATATACAATACTAATAGAGCAAATAATACATAGCTGCAATAACTACAAATAATATACTTGTTTTTGTAATAGAAGCCGTTGATTTGTCGTCAGGCGAGGATGTGGTCGTCGAAGGCATTTTAGTGGACGTAATCACGTTGCCAGGATTTTGTATTACGTTTGGTTTAGCTGTATCGGGTTGTTTTGTTGATGTTGAAGTAGAAATGACGCTGGGTATTGTTGAATAAGCATTTGTTTCTGCACTGGGTTCATCGCTGGTAGCTGGGTTGTTCACCGATGCAGTGCCAATGCCTTAAACAGAGATGAACCACGAATGAGATTACTAATTCACCGCGCATTTGCTTTTAGAGTAATTCTCGCCGATGAGCTAATAAATTAACTTGTTTCAGATAAATGATTAACTCCAGAAGTTGAATATTTCTAGAAGTTTATTATATTTCCGAATTATTGCCGGTAGAAACGCATTTTTATTAAATCCTTAACACTCATCTAAAACTTGCATGTTTTTATTTTATCGTAAGCTAAAACTTTTTTATTCTCGAAAATTATCGGATATTGGGCGTATTAAATCTGTAAATAGGTAAACAGGTCTTTTTAACGAGGTTCTGAAAACTCGTGAGCAGCCATTTGCTTTCCACAGTAAGATAATTTGATCACAAGTTCAAGAAAAAAGGTGGCTTACCTCCTGCCACAACATGTCGAAATAATGTGAGTTATTAGTACTTCCTCAAAATGGCATATTGAGTATTTTACATGAGATAAAAAAAAAAAGATTATTTTTCTTTATGATTTATTAGTATGATTTCATAATTTACTTCTCTCTGTTTTTTTTTTTTCATATTAATAGACTACTTATAGGAGTTTGAGACTACTTAATGGTACCTTTAGCACAAATAGAATAAAAATGTAAAATTTTTACATACCGATCTCTTGAATGAAAACGCTCCATATCTGAGAATTTTCATAAATAAAAAGGTTGTAGTTAACATAAAATTAAGTCATTCACGAAGTATAGAAGAGTGTTGATAATTTCATAGAAAGGTGTCACTACCGCGGATTTTATATAAAATAATCGTTGGAGAAAAATTTTTTAAATAACGCTGTATAAATAAAATAAAGGTTGATTTTTTTTTTTTCTGTGAAGTAGAAATAAAAATTTCGACCATAAATGATTAAATTTATGAAAATAACATCGTCTGTTTATCAATATATATCATGAAAGAAGCAAATAAAACAAAGCTGTAAAGAATAATTGTAAGCAATATACTTGTTTTTATCAGAGAAGCCGTTGATTTTTCGTTGGGAGGGGTTGAGGACGCAGAAGGTGTCAAAGTCGTAACTGGTGGATTGACTGCGTTGACGGGTTCGTTTTCTAAGACCGTTGCCTGAGAAGTCATGCTGGAAACAATCGCTGGAGATGCGTCGTTGATGGTAGTTTGTTGGGGGGTAGTTTGTATATGATAAATGTGACTTTCTGGACTTGATCCATCAGTTGTCGGCGCTGTTACCGTGGAGGGATCTTCAGCAGGGGGAGGAGTAAGGTCTTGCCCCCGGATGGAGGATACGAGACAGCAAGCGCTGAAAACGATCGCGTAGAGAGAGTTCATGACTGAAGGCTACGTGAACACCCGCGAGTATTTATCAGGCACGATAACTGTGGAAGCGATGGGAGGTTCCCCTCCTCCCGGCCGTCCCATTGAGCCAGGTCCTTGCCAACTGCTCGCCTCTCATCAAGCCCTACCTCTTCAATTATTCCTCTACCTGTCGCCAGGTAACCTTTCCAACACACAACTTGATTCTCACCAAAACCAACGGCGGTGTCCCGTAATCGATGAAGGCCGCGGAGGGGTATTAAAGTAAAAGCCCCAATCAACAGGTGCCCTTCTTGACCCATATCACTCGACTGTCTATAATGCCACTTCTTCAAATTCGAAATTACCATTGAACCAATGATGGAAGGGATGAAATAATAAAATATAATATTGTTGAAAATACTGCTATGCTATAAAAAAGTAATTTACTAATTCCATCGTCCTGTAGAGTATGCAGTCATAACCATGGGCGCTGGCAATTACGAAATGTTGAGGGGGGTGAACCACTCACCTTCACAACATGATAACATAACATGATAACAACGTTCAATGCATGAGAGGAGAAGGGGAATAGAACGCCACACATAAAAGTGTAACAGTAACAGTCCGTGGTACATAGCCATTTTTATCAAATTATTAACATCCGTCTGAAACCTCGTGAATTTCTTCATCTTATCGTAACCTACAGATTTTTTATATGCGTAAATTTTCAGAAATGGAGCGATTTCAAATTAAATTAATTGATTTAGTTAGGTACTGAAAACTGATAAATATCCATTCGCTTTCCATATAAATCACAAGATTTGTTGAAAAATTGAACACAAAATCGATAAAAAAGATGGCCTACAAAAATTTGTTCTGTTTGGTCTATATAACCTCGTTATTTCGACGAGTTGTGGGTGAAGGTCACGCCAAACGGCAGAATACTTACAAGGCCAACAAATGTGTGCTCATGCGTTTCTATTGCCTAATTATATAGACAAAGTTTACCGATCTCCAGATTGAAAATTCCATAATTTCGAGAACTTTTCTGAATAAATAGTTGTAGGTTCCGATGAGATAACTATTCACGAATAAAATTCACGAAGTTTTAGGCGGATTTTAATATTTTTATAAAAGTCGATTTGTACTACGGATAATTTTTCTCCAAATATGTCAAGTGCAAGACCAAGACCGAGACCGATACTGGTAAAAAAAAAATCGATTTTTCGAATAAAAACTAAGGCAAAATAGTTACTAATGCTTCACAATTTTAGTTATTATACGTAACTAATTTTTCAGGTAAAATATGTCCCTTTTGATGATTCATTTGATGAAATAACTGATCGAAATTTGTATCACGAGGAATCAGATTTGACGTTGAATGAGACAAATAACAGCTACATAGATCAAACAAACGATCTTTCGTGAATCGTCGAAGTTGACATGATTTTTGAAATTACTGACAAATTCGCCAAATCAGATTTGTTATTTTTAGAAAAATTGGTCACATGCTTTTTCAAAAATATTCTTTAAACTGTCTGACTCGGAACAAAAATCGTTATGGAACTTAAAAGTAAAATGCAAGAAGAAATTTTGATACTTGGGAACAATAAATTTTCATAAATCATTTTTTTTCTTCTTTTTGGGCTAAAAACTGTTCGTCATCATGACTAGTGTTACCCAAAATCGGTCTTCGTCTTGCACTTTGACCAAGACCAAGCCCGCCTAATTGTTGCAAGACCAAGAACAATACTGATAAAAAAATCGATTTTTCGAAAAAAAACTAAGACAAAATAGTTACTAATATTTGACAATTTTAGTTACTACATGTAAAGAATTGATATAACCAACATAATTCTGCATTTAACTACTATAATTTCTCATTCGGGCTTCGTTAGGTTTCTCCTATCTAAAAGATTACAGTAATATATTTATAGTAATAAGCTAATAGGTATAACAAGACTATTGCGACACTCTTGCGTAAAGACCAAGACCAAGACCAAAACTGAGTGAGCAGGACCAAGACTCGTTTTGGTCTCGCATTTGGGCAATACTAACCACGGACTATAATAAGTTTATACTATAATAGACTTATACTATAGTATGTAATATCTACACTACAGAGGATGTCCTGTAAATATTTAAAGGTGTGATAGCGGACATCAAGGTGTTCCAAAAAGATTTTATGTAATTGTCCAATTTCGACTATCAACACGGTATGTAGATAAAAATTGTATAGGTTTATTACAAAAAGTTACTAAGTGTATGGATGAAGCTATGTTTGTACGTTTTTTTGTGTGTGTATTTTGGTCTTATTTGTCGATGTAAAAATACATTAAATGCATATAAATGTACTATCCTCTTTATGTATAAAAAAATATTATCCTAAGAAAATAATATTTTTGTCACAAAGAGCAACCTTCTTAGAGATTTAATTTTTTATAAATGTTACTTAACCATTTATTACTATTAACTCGAGATATATTTCTAGCTTTTGATTACTGTGGTCAATGTGATAAAATTATATTTCATTCTTAATTTTACTTAGTTCTTGATTATTATTATACTTTTGTTAATTTTATATTTTCTGTATATATGGTGTGAATATATTCATATATCACTATAATTATTGTACAAGTGACAGATTATTATATTTCTAAATAAATAAATTTAAAAAAAAATATATGTGAAAGTTGTTGGTGACAAATATAATGTAAATTGATAAATAATGAATGTATGCTTCGGAGGACTGAGAGCTGTTTTATTTTTAATGGAAACTGAATACGGAAAACCTTCAGCGAAAATAACTAAGAGAGGAAAACACAACTGGAATTGTTTTATATAATTTGAATAGTTTACATTAATTTGAATCATGCCAATAACAAAGTCTCATTCTTCTTTAAAATTAAAAGATCAGGACGAATTGCTACAGTCGGATCTACGGGCAAGCCTTTAAGCCTGGGTTGGTAAAATTTTTGTTTATGTAAGTGATCTAAGCTAAATACGTAGTACAAAATTTATAAATAACACAATTTATTCTCTTTGTAGATTGTAGTGCATATTAAATGTAAGCACGTAACAAGAAAAAATATATCTTTAAAAGCAGTATTGTCCTGTATTTTTTATTTAATTTTTTTTTTAGCCTTTATAGACCACTTAAAGAATGGAATATAATTTCATATAGGCAGTTTTTATTTCCAGAATACTTATCATTATTTATTATTTTATTCAATTCTTTATTGAGAAATATTACAATCCGTCACATCTAGTGATAGAAGAGTAGCTCATTCACACTCTATGTACAATAAATAAACTGCAAAATAATAATAATATTAAAAGTTAACATATATAAACCAAAATAAACCAAACTAATCAAAATAACTTCTTAAATACATACATGATCTTATACAATATTTACAAAATTCATTCACTCAAGATCTCCCAGCCAAGCATTACTCGTCTCGGTCTTGCATTTGGGCAACAGTAATCATGACCAACCCATATTGAGACATTTGTTTTTCGGGAGACTCTGTATATTGTTAAATATACTCGAATTTCGATAAATTATATTTTTATAGAACTATTACATTTTTCTCAGAGGTCACGAATATATTTTAAAAATCTATGAAAAAATAGATAGTTTAGAAATTAGTAGATAGTATTATGATCATATCTTTTGTTTACTGTAACTTTGAATAAAATAAGATTAATTCCTTTCCCAATATGAAAATAAATAAAAACATGTTTATTATTGAGATGTGTTTTAATAGTCTTTGGCTTGGGAACATGGTTGTTATACAATAATCCTGAGGGTTATTTTAAGAGAGAGGGGGCAACAGAATAGATTTGATGGCCACCAAAAACAAAACCATGGATTTGTTTTAAAAATATATTGTTTTTTTTTTCATTATTATTCAATTATAGCGACCTTACCTTGAATAGTGTGTATAGAAATTTTCCGCTTAGTGGTCAAAATATTCTTGAAAAGTGTAATTTTTTTATTTATTACTATTCATATATTGAATAATATAACACTCTGCCACTTGGACAATGGTTATAGAGAGGTAAGATCACATTCACACTAATGTACAAAAAAAATAAATAAAGGCAAAATAACTAAATAATAATCAATAAGTACATACAATAAATAAAATAACATAACTTGTAAAATAAAAGATAAGTAAATTTAAAAAAAAAAAACTTATACATACCTACATACATTATTTACATTGAGGCGAGTGAACTCAGAGGGTGGCTTGTTTCTCCAACTATTGAGGAAAAAGCAGGACTTCAGGAGATCCCTACGCTTCCCTCTCAATCGCGTCACGCCAGTAGAGTGTGAAAAATTTTAATGTTTCTAAATTTGTAAACCTCGCTTACATTATATGTATTTTTGATTGAATTAATTTTTTTCTTATTGACAGAAGTTTAGATAGGCTTCCTTCGTCAAAACAACAAAAAAATGGATTTTTTTCCGTAGATTTCTGTTCCAAACATTTTACAAGTTAAAACATAACCAATAGGTAAATATGACGTATGAACGGTATAGGGTTTCCACTATAGTGAAATATTTTTCTTTTTAGATTTTTTTTTTTTCAATAATATATAAGACGAGTAATTATACATAGTATTGCGTACTAGTTTGTATAAATTTGTAAGGAAGGAATTTTTAAGATCATTTTGAGGAAAAAAAGGGAAAATCTGACTGACCAAAAGGAAAATTTTAAAAACTATGGCAGAAACGCTGTTCCGGTGTGCATATAATATGAACTATAAAATGTAAAACTAGTGATATTTTTGTTATTAGTGAAAATACGCAATTTGCGAATATGGAACGCTTATATGTTTTTTGTTTGCGCATAAGCAAAATGAGAAGATGCTATACCCGCAAATGTTGAGGGATTGCTGCATTCTCATTTATTTTTTTTTTTTTTTAATTTTAATAAAAAAACAAATAATATGTGAAGTGACATTTAAGTATTATTTGAAGACCTGTTAAAAAAATAAATAAATAAATAATAATAAAAACATAAAATAAATAAAAAATCCGTTAATTATAGGAACACGAATGCTTTTAAAAAATGAAATATTTTATATGAATGTGTAAGTATATATATATACACACAGGTAGGTAACTCTATCCTTCTCCTCAGCAATCTAAAATGTTACAATAAGTTTTGGCGAAATTTTTTACATTTTAAAAGGAAAGATGTGTGTTCATTTGTAATCATATATTTTTTTTTTTACTATGTTTCTTTATTATATTGTTACAATCCAGATTGCTGAGGAGGAGCACAGAGTTTCTTCGAAAAGTACCAAT